GTGTGGGCGTGGGTGTGGGTGTGGGTGTGGGTGTGGGAGGGTGTGGAGGTGGGTGGGTGTAGTGTGGAGTTTGTTCTTCGTTTCGCTTGCACCCACCCACACCCACACCCACACACCCACACCCACACCCACACCCCACACCCCACACCCTCGACGTTTCGATATTTCACATATCATTTTCAAGACAAATTTACGCTGACAATTTTTTTTAAAGAAAACGACAATATATACGAAGAAAAAGGAGTGACCTATCAATAAGCAGATAAAAGCGCACCAGGGTGTGGGGTGTGGGTCTGGGTGTAGGTGGGTGTGAGTCTGGGTGTGGGTGGGTGTGGGTGTGGGTGTGGGTGTGGGTGCGGGTGTGGGTATGCGAGTGTGGGTGGTGGGTGTGGGTGTGGGTGTGACTGGAGAGTGTGGGTGTGGGTGTGGGTGTGACTGGAGAGTGTGGGTGTGGGTGTGGTGTGAATGTGAATGTGGATGGGGTGTGGGTGTGGTGTGAATGGGAATGTGGATGGGGTGTGGGTGTGAGTGTGGGAGTGAATGTGGGGTGTGGGTGCGGGGTATAGGTGGGTGGATGTGGAGTGTCGGCATGAGTTTAATTGGAGAGACATCAACATATATATTCGTACCTTTACCATCACTCACACTTATATATAACGACGAGGACTCCAACCACACGCACATTCCCAGACATGCACGATTCCACAAAAAATCGCACCCGCAACTCACTCAGAATCTCACCAAATATCCCTCTTCAAATCCCACCCACAATGTCACTTATGATCCCACCCTCAATTCCATTTCCATATCAACACTCCATCATACTCTCATCAACAGCGGCGCCGACACGGACGCGCAATCCTCCAGCCTCTACACATTCACATGAGCGCTCGCTTTCATATCCACTCGCTTTGTTTTAAACGGCTGTGAATCAATCTTGCCCCTTTTGTAGTTCTCGTCGATTATTATTTTCTTTCTTGCCTTGGTTTTTTTGTTGTTATGATTTTTACAGTGGATGAAGAGACAATGAAAATTACGCTGCCGGTTATTATAACCTTGCCGATTCACTATCGGTATCATAAAAGCAACAGAAAAGAAAAGAGAAAAAGAAAAAATCAAGTGCGTAAGTACTTTCATGTTCCGTGCATAAAGTTGGAAGAAAGTAGCATTGACTGTCGAATAGTTATGAAAAAGAAAAATAGTAGGCTAGACGAACTAGGAAGAGACTTACTAATAATTAATATTTGATTAATTGAGTGTGACATTTTCACACAAAGTGAGTAAACTTTCCTTTAAGAACGAATCAATTGAAATAAACCAATAACATAAGAATCTCCATTAGCAGAATTTCACTCGAAACTATTCTACTAGACCTATAAGTTTTTGTTCGGCAGATTTAGATCAGGATCTAGAAAAATTTACTTTCTATAGACTAAAGCGAACGTACCATCAGACTGAATGTGTAAGTTGAACCCCATTACATGTTGCTCATTGTGTTTGTTTTATGTTTTGTCAATTTCAATCGTTTCTGCTCTCTGCACATCCGCAGCATACAAATCAAATTATTTTCAATAGACAGAATGGTGAATAAGCGACTCCTGCAGCCAGCAGATATCGAGTAGACGCACAAGTGTTTTTCAATGGATTTTTTCAATGGGTTCGTGATTGGAAAGAAATAAGAGACCGACAAACGCAAGAATGAAATTTTTTTGCTAATCAAAGTCAACAATGGATTTTTTATCTGAAATTAATACTACTCAAGCAATAACTAAAGTACGACCTTTTGTCTGTAGTCACGTAGTGACACAGCAAGAAAGGAAAAAACAAATTTATTGACGCTATGCATCTAACACTTAGATATTTTAATGTAGCACATGTCTCTGGGTATTTTTTTCTTCCTTTTTTTTGTTTGATTGCATTGAGTCATAAATGTAAAAACAAAGTTTTTTCCAACATAGCTCGTATAAAAGTGTAGTGCATTATTCATACCTTCACTTAAGAGAAAGGTCCTTTACTTTTAGGCAATAAATAATGACTGATTTGTATGCCGACACTTCGATATTCAAGGTAATTTCCAACGCAGTACGAGACACTGAGGCAGGCAAAATATCAGTTTTGAATGCATCAAAGACTAAAATAAAACTTGATAGCGAACAATATGGATCGCTAAAAAGGCATCCCCCTTTTCGAAAGGCCTTCGAAATATGTCAACAATTAGTTAACAAAGGAGGAATTTATTCTCCTACAATTTTGAACTTAGCTGGATTCCAGTATACAAATAATGGAGATGCGGCTCGCTGCCACACTTGTAATCTTGAAGTATCAGGATGGACATTGGACATGGAACCATTTGCTATTCATGTAAATCAAAGTCCCACTTGCCCATTCGTTCTATCACGATTACTTTCTCAGAATACAACTAAAACTACGGCAGAATTAAACAATGCAAATCAATCACTTCAAAAGCCAGAAGTTGACACAAATACCCTCAACAAACATTTCAACATACTTGTTGAAGTAGATAATATTAAACAAGTACGAAAACGTACATTTTCACATTGGCCACATCGATCATCACCTTCCAGCTCACAAATGATCGAAGCTGGATTCTTTAGTTGTAATGTTGGTGATCGTGTCATATGCATTTATTGTAATATTATCTGTCAACAATGGACTCCAAATAGTGACAATCCATGTGAAATACATAGAACACTCTCACCCAAATGTCCTTATGTTATATCCATGTTGATTCGTCCTCAAACATCAACGATTTTGGTTATTAATGAACATTGTAGCACTGATCAATCATCCACCTCAACCAACATCGATCCATTTCGATGTAATGCACTTGTTTATACTGCAGCTTGTAATCCATCTTATATTGAAATACCAAAACGATATGCATCTTTTGCTACTTGGCCTAATGAAAACTTACCATCTGTTGATGATCTAGTCAAAGCTGGCTTCTTTCATACTGGTACTAAAACTATTGTGACTTGTTTTTATTGCAATGGTTCTTTACAAAACTGGGGTCCAAATGATAATCCAATGATAGAACATGCTCGTTGGTTTCCACATTGTGCATATGCAAAACAATTATGTGGTGCTGAACTGTATCGAAAGATTCAAGAATCAAAACAAATTCAACAAGGTTTTTTGTTTAATCATTCAAACAAGCATAAATAACGTATTTGCTGTTTTTTTCGTCTAGGAAGAGCGCAAGTTAATGATGCAAACAATCGATCTGGATCAATTGGTGGTGATGTTTCAAGCTATGGACGTCTGTTGATACCAGATGAGAGTACTTTGTCGCGGCTCGTAGCTGCTCGACTTGATCTGCCAATATCACAAAATCTACTTGATCGTAATTTTAAACTCTCAATCATCAAAAGATGTTGGGAGGATCAACTCAGGTTAAAACGTAGGTTAGCTGTCGTTTTTGTACTTAGAAGAAGAGAAACAAATGAACATGTTCACGTTTGTTTTAGATGAAGATTTCGTGAGTGATTCTGATCTGTTAATGGCATGTACGGTCCTCCAGAAACAAATAGAATATATAGATGGTAAGAAGGAAAACATAATCGTGCCAAGTGTTGCTATGGCGAAAATTCGAGAAAGAAATCAAGCAGGTAATTTGCCAAGAAGTTGAGTAAATGAGGATGTTTGTATGGACACTATTGTAGAAACTCATGTGCAAGAGCAACGATTGTCGGAGTTATCGCCAACAAATTCATCGGCCGCAAACGACATGGAAATAACAACGTCGCCATCAGAACCGACTCGAGATAATGCACCTTCAAAATCCTCTGACAAAATGGGGGAGAAGCAACAGGATAATAAGTCGCAAAAAAAAGAGGATTTGGATCCAAGCAAAAGAAATAGTTCATTACCGACAAATCCTTGTGTACTGTGTTTGGAAGAAGAAAAGCGTCTGGCATGCATACCTTGCGGTCATTTGTCTACGTGTGTACCGTGTGGCCATTCTCTTCGGTCCTGTCCAATTTGCCGTTGTAGCATTGATGCTTTTGTACGGATATATCTTTGACACCCTTGTCAGCAATTTCGATCTGTAATCATTATAGAAAACCATAAATAACGTTCTTTATTATTTTAACTTTGAATTGTAATTTTTATTTTTCGTTTTTCTCATTTTTGGAGAATGCATCCTATTTCGCCATGTTGAACATTGCGGAATCAGTTCCACACTCGGAACCAATTTCGTCCAATTCCAGAAGCTCCATTATGATTCCACACAACAGGCTCAATCGATATCGATCGAGTTGCGTCAATTTTCGGAATTCCATGAATTGTGTTGAAACGGAATTCCAACTAATTCCGTCTCGACTCAATTCCCATAATTCTTCACCCAAATTACTTCTCGCCCTCACCATTACGCATGGTGGTGTGATTAAAGATGAATCCCTAGGATAAGTAAGTAATTCCGGTATGGAATTCCGAGAATTGAGTCGATATGGAATTAGAAGGAATTCCTTCTGATTCCGGAATTCCGTCGCGCCTCAATTCCCGGAATTCCACGCCCGAATTCCTTCTCGCCCTCACCCTCACGCATGGTGTGGTTGAAGATGAATCCCTAGGGTAAGTAATTCCGGTACGGAATTTCGGGTAATGAGCCGAGTTGGAATTAGGAGGAACTCCTTCTGATTCCGGAATTCCGGGAACTCCTTTCAATTCCGAAATTCCTAGGAATTCTTTGTAATTCCGTCTCCACTCAATTCTAGGAATTCCACACCGGAATTACTTCTCACCCTCACCCTCACGCATGGTATGGTTGAAGATGAATCGCTTGGATAAGTAAGTAACTCCGGTACGGAGTTCCAGGAATTGAGTCGAGACGGAATTAGAAGGAATTCCTTCTGATTCTGAAATTCCTGGAACTCCTTCGAATTCCGAAATTACTCAGAATTCCCAGGTATTCCGTGTAATTCCGTCACGAGTCAATTTCCGGAATTCCACACCGAAATTACGTCTCCCCTGACCCTCACGCATGGTGGTGTGGTGGAAAATGAATGCCTACAATAAGTAAGTAATTTCGGTACGGAATTCCTGGAAATTGAGCCGAGACGGAATTAGAAGGAATTCCAGGGAATTTCTTCTGATTTCGGAATTCCTGAAACCTCTTCCAATTCCGTGTAATTCCGGGATTCCGATTCAAGGGGGAAACAGCAGAATCCATGAACCCACTTGAATCCACTCGAATGGATATTGTTCTGTTTTGGGAATAGAACTTCCGGGTTATGAGTAATATTGTTCTGTTTTGGGAATAG